TTTGATGGTTATAAAATATTGAACAGTAAACTAATAATCAAAATTTATAATGCCAACTTGTGTTGTTATTAATTGTACTTTTAATGCAAAACCAAGATCTCACATATCCTTTCACGAATTTGCATACCTGATACTACTGTCAACTGTATTGTTTAATGTATTCTTTTACTTTTTTTTTCATAACCTTAACAGGTTCTAATTGGTATGGAGTTGCCGACATTTTAAAAGTTTCATTATCAAAAATCAAATGTAAAATAAAATGATATTTCCTTTTTATCCGTATCCAATTTAGCAAATTTAGCAATTTAAAATAAATCAGCGTAATCAAAAAATTTTTATAATAAAAAAAGTTAATAATTCATCATATATCTCTAACTAATACTGTCAGTTTATGAAATTAATTGTTAATACTATCATAGCGTAAAAATAACCAGAGAAGTTAGAAAAAAGTTCCCACTGGTTAAATAAAAATAAGTAAGATTCAGAATATATAATACTGCGCTCTCTTGCACAAAAACAAGGGACCGTATACATAACGTTCTATATAATGTAAAACACTCGTTTGAAAATCATAAGATTCGTAAGTAAAGCTTTAATATTTGTTTTAATTTAAAAACAAAAGAAATATAAGTAAGATATATAAATCTAAAAATTATTAAGATATCGGTAAAAAAAAAGTTCCTCTTATGAAATAAAAAGCTTTTATTATTTTTGATTTTTGCAAAAATTTGTTGTGAAAGTTGTTTTGCTGTATGTTAAAAATTTTTTTTTTGAATTAAAATAGAAAAAACACAGCTTTGTTTAATTACACTTTTCTTTTGTTAAAAATCTACCTTGATGTCAAATGCTAAAACTTCTATGAATTAAACGCACTTCAAAGGAATAGCCAAAGTCTGTAGATTGTGACGTATAATTTAAAGACTCCGAGTTATTGAAAAAAATGGAGAATGCGAGCTTCGGCTAAAACCACAACATTAGTTTTTCTCGGTATGCATTCATTATTTATTTTTAATCAAAAAAACTTGGTTCAAACCTTTTTTTTTAACAATATCTTTAATATGAACACAACATGTGTCAGGAGTTTGGGATTCCTTTAAAGCAATTTTTTCTTAAAAAAATCTTAAATTGATATCAAAAGATTAACTAAAACTTGATTTTATCGAAAAAATATTTTTAATTTGAAAAAAAGATTTCCTTGTTCACCAAGTTTTTATCTTAAAAACGATATATATATATATATATATATATATATATATATATATATATATATATATATATATATATATATATATATATATATATATATATATATATATATATGTATATATATATATATATATATATATATATATATATATATATATATATATATATATATATATATATATATATATATATATATATATATATATACAATAGTGAATATAAATATGCATATGCCAACTTTTTTGACAACAAATCCAAGCAGGTTTTTGCAAAAAGCAGGAAAAAATATAGAATAATGGAAAAACATTTTGCAGACCCAACCCAAACCCTCAATTGATGTAGTTAATGTAGCAGCAACTCCCTTGTATGTTCTCCCTACATCAATCAATTTATTAAATGCCCTAACAGCTAACTAAATTAGCATACGCCAAATTGCCAATCTAAAGGTGCTTTTATTGTTTTATACATATGTATTTAATTATTTTTTTTAAACACCTTCCCTTCTAACAAGACTGCTAGCAACCACTATTAGAGTTGGAAATTACTGGAGAAAAGATTAAATTTATAAAGCAAAATAACGATAAACAGACAACTTCAAAGATTTCAAATTTTATGAATTAGGAAAATATATAGGAAGCAAATTTTAAAGAACTTATATTCCGGGAATAAACTAGGCAAAAAAATAATTTTTTGGAACACTTAGGAACAGTCACAGTAAAAAACCAAAAGACTTAATTGAATGACAAATAATATGAGAATGAATGGTACAATGGTAGATGGTACAAGAAATGCTAGCTCTTTAGAGCAGCACCTTTTATAGTATTATATATTTTATAAAAAAAAGAAAAAGAGAAGCTATAATACAATGATGCGACAATGGTTGAATGTTGGCTGCAAGAGCAATTCTAACTATGCTTACAATACTATTTTGCATCTTGTCTAAAAGAGAAAGGGCATAACTTGTAGAATCTTCAGCTAAAAATACCACCACAAACAAAGAGAATATCTGGGAGATCATTAATGTAATTTTAAAAAAGTATAGGGCAAAGGTTAGATCCTGGAGGAACCCCTGAAGTTAAGGAAATGAAGAAAAGTGCTGTTCATTGACGACAACCTTTATACTACAATTAGTAAAAAAGGATTCAATAAATTTAAAGATGCTACCTAATACACCGTAACAAGAGAGCTTATCGAAAAACACTAGCATGCTAAACTTTATCAAAGGCTTTAGAAATGTCAAGAGCAATAGCCTTAACTACTCCAAATCTATCTAATGAACAATAGAAACCTATTAGTTACTACTGTTAACAAAGGAACAAGAAGATAAAAATTCATATTGATGATCAGAAAGTAAGTTATTAGATTCAAGATAAGAGATTAAGTATTTTTTAATTAAAGTCACAAATGCATTGCTTATGATAGTACTCAAAAACCTTGCTAATGATAGTAAGGCATAACAGATGCTGCTTGAAAGTATAGATAGCTGCTTCGCAGAACACTTCTGCAAGACTATTACAGGTGTGTGTCTGGACCACAAACTGAAAGATTTCTAACTAGAAGCCATCACAGAGAAAATTACAGAAAGAGTTTTAACTTGTATTTCTAGAAAACTATTGGATATCCAGAAAAAAAATGTTTATAAAAATATCAGAAATTCCATGAAATCCAGATAAAGATAGCCCCCTTTAGTTGTAAGTGGTACAATAATTGGGGGAACCTGGTAATAAAGAATAATGAAATAATAGTTTTAGATCAGTTTTTATAAAAATATCAGAAATTCCATGAAATCCAGATAAAGATAGCCCCCTTTAGTTGTAAGTGGTACAATAATTGGGGGAACCTGATAATAAAGAATAATGAAATAATAGTTTTAGATCAGATTTAGAGAGATCAAAACATGATCAGAGTACTGATCAGAAACAAGACATAAGCCGAGTAGAGAAGGTAAATGATTCAGATTGTCTGGAAAGCAAGTCGGAGAGTTGACTATTTGAGTTAGAGATTGAGAAAGAAAAAATGCAGTGACTATATGCAATAACAGGCATTAAGGCCTGCAGAGTCACTGTCACTTGAGCCAAGCCATTCAGTGTGATGATAATTAAAGTCACCAACAACAAATATAGACTGAAAGATAAAAAGAGAAATGGCTTTGTCAATTTGATTAGAAATTATATCAAAAAAAGTGCAGTCTTATAATAAAATTAGATAAAGGAGAGCGATATAGAACAAAGAAAAAGATAATAGAATGAAGTAGTGCTAAACCAAAACACATAAAAGTATAGTCAGTAGATTCAAACCTAGTTTCCCAACAAAGGGGTGAACTCTTACAAATATAAATGCTTATAATGCATTTTACTATTAATGTCTTTATAAAATAAAGGAAGATAATGATAAACACTAAGATCGCAAGATGAGACAGCTGAACTCAAACTAGTCTCACAAAGAGCAAGTCCGTCTGTAAAAATATGTATACATATATATATATAAATATACATGTATATATATATGTATATATATATATATAGTCTAGCATGGTAGTCACAAAGTTTTTCCCATAAACTGCTGTTTTAAAGAGCCCGTTAATAAGCCTGACCAGAAAATGTTGAAAAACTTGAATTAAAAAAAATTTAAATGATAGACTGCCTGCCCAAACCAAACCCTTAGTTGATGTAGCAGCACTCTCTTTTGAGTCAGGCTATTTGTCAGTCGATGTAGCAGCACTCTCTTATGAGTCAGGCTATTTGTCAGTCGATGTAGCAGCACTCCCTTTCAAGTCAGGCTATTTGTCAGTCAATGTAGCAGCACTCCGTTGCGAGTCAGGCTATAAGATAGTTGATGTAGCAACACTCCCTTGTAGCAGCAGACTATAAGATAGTCGATGTAGCAACACTTACGCATGTTTTAAAAATGTTTTTTAATAAAACAAAAACAAAAACACCACTAATTAAAAAAACTTTCTAGTCATTATTATTGCGGTTTTTTAAAAAAAAAAAATTTAATGTATTTCCGCATTAATTTAATTGCTTTGACATTTCGATGACAATCAAATACAGCTTAAGAGACGAGGTAATAAAAATTTTAGTCGAACAAGACTTTTTTTACCATAAAAGTCTCTTTCGACTACACTATAAGGATATATATATATGAATATATATATATATATATATATATATATATATATATATATATATATATATATATATATATATATATATATATATATATATATATATATATATATATATATATATATATATATATATATATATGTATATATAGATAGATAGATATATATATAGATAGATATATCTATATATATATAGATATATATATATATATATATATATATATATATATATATATATATATATATATATATATATATATATATATATATATATATATATATATATATATATATATATATATATATATATATGTATATATAGATAGATAGATATATATATAGATAGATAGATATATATATATATATATATATAGATATATATATATATATATATATATAGATATATATATATATATATATATATATATATATAGATATATATATATATATATACACACACACACACACATATATATATATATACATATATATATATATATATATATATATATATATATATATATATATATATATATATATATATATATATATATATATATATATATATATACATATATTTATACACACACACACACACAGACACACACACACACACACACACACACTATAGCACAAATAATAATATTTATTTGATTTATTTGCATACATTTAATGATGATGTTGTATTTTTTCCACTATGGCATTCTGGATTAGATGATTTTTTATCTGAATTTGTTGAATTTGTAGATACCATAGCAACCAAAGCAACACTTATATTAACTCGCAAAGCATATGTGAGTAAGACACCCAAATGAGCCATTATAGCAAAAATATATCTTTGAGAAAAATAACACCCCATTGTGTGTGTATTTGATCTTTCTAAATAAATTCAATTAAGTAAAAAGATATATGTAAAATTTTCATGAAAAACAATTTCATTTTGACAATAAATTTAAAAAACTGTAATCTGTAATAACTTTATACACTAACTTTTAAAGTATTATTATTTCACTTTTTATTTATTAACTTAAACATGTAATAAGACTCCTGCACAGAAAAACAAGTAGAAAGGAGTTTTAGTTAATGGAATTTAAATTCTGTACTGCTTACATACCGAGCAAACTGTCTATACCACCATAACACTTCTTCATTTTTGACAGTGTTTGAACATATACATATTTATGTATTGCAATTTTTATTAAAGTTTATTATTTTTTCTACTTCACATGATTGAATTTGAAGTTATAATTTTAAAAAAAGTAGTTAAATTCTTGATTTCTCTTTCTCTCTCTCTCTTTTTTTTTTTTTTACATTATACATCATAAAGTATTTACATCATAAATTATACATCATAAATTTAAAAATTTTACAATTAAATTATAAAATATTGATTTAACTTTTTAAAAAATTTTAAAAACTATGTGTCAGCCCCTGCAGTAACTAATTTAACGGGCTCTGAAAAAACATAATTTAAAGAAAATATTTAAACAAATTATTAATTAATATTTAAGTTCAACTATATTTTTAGTAACTCTATAAAATCCATCTTAGGTTGAGTAAAAAAGTTAGTTTCAATCAACTTGATTGCCAATTTTAAAATACATAAAAATCTATTTTGTATTCAATCATATTAAAACATCATTCATTAAACTTTGTCATTTTTATTTTTATATTTTAATCTGATTATACCTGTTTAAAAAATTTTGTATATTTAAAAATAAACAATTAGGATAATTTTTACATTTTTACATAACCTTAGACGACTATAAAAAGTTTATAAAAGTATATCTAACTTAACTACATTCAATGGAGTGGAGTAAATTGTAATAGTTCAATTATAGTTCGATATAATGATCACTTAACTAGTTAAGATAAAGATAACTAAAAATTATTTTAATCTAAGCTAAAAATAACTTGAAATACTTTTTATTATTTGTGTTATTACTTGTGTTTTAAGTCTCACTAAAAACATGCTAGTGTAATATTTAATTTGAATTCGACCAGCACTGAATGTAGTTGCTTTTTTTAGTGAGACAAAAAACACAAATAATAACACAAAAATTAAAAATAATTTTTAATTATCTTTAACCTGTAATAGATAAAATATGTATATTTTTTAAGAGAAATTAATTTAACTTCCAGTGATATTAGGAATTTAAATAGGACCAATTACATCTAATGTGTCCAGAGTCTCTCTATTTTTATTACTTAACGGAACAAGCATTAAAAGTTTATATGTAAAAAACTTAGAAAATATTCTGTGATATTTAAATGTTTTAAAAATTAATTTTAGAAAAAAATTAAAAGCTATAACATTATGTTATATAAGCTAATCTGTCTTTGATCAACATTAACGTCAACAATAAATAAAAACAAATAAAAACACCTGGGTAGAATGATTTCCGATGTTTACATTTTAAAACATGATATGTTTACATTTCCATGTTTACATTTCCGTCGCATGCGCACTAGGTGGTAGGAACTTGGCTATTTAAATAAATAATAAATAAAGAAGGTTGAAACTTTGTTTTAACTAATTTCAACAAACCAAGGCCAACAATACCAGAGTGAGAGGGGAAGTGGAGGGTCATGAGGCATTGACCTCCTACTACCACTATTACCACCGCCACTACGACCACACTATCTCTTTTTTTTAAAAGGACTTTTTATTTATTTATAATTTTCTAGATATAAAGTAGGGTTGTTAACGGGAGGATTTCGTGCAATTCCGGAAAAACAACATTCTTTCATAAGGAGAACGAGGAATTACATTTTTTCGTACATGTTAAGGCGAGTTTCCACTCATCCGTTTTTTCACGGGAACGGGAAAAATAATCACGTGGGCATGCGTAGTATATGTTGAAGGAAAACTACGAACTATTTTTTCCATCCTTATCCCGTTCCCGTGAAAGAACGAATGAGTGGAAACTCACCTTTACAAAACATTTAAAATCGCCGATGTTCATTTCGCAAAAGCCACTTCCGAAATTTAGCATTTCGCAAGTTGACATACGAAACAAAACTATTTTGCAACATACAAAAGTAGCGGTTTCGGAAGTCGCACTTGCGAAACAAACATTTTCACCAAACGACGTTTTGAAGTCTATAAAGAAAATTTGTTTGCCAGACTGATTTTAATTGTAACAATTAACATCTTTAAATCCCAAAATGTTTATAATGAATTGTTATTTTCAGTATAATAACATTTAAATTTTTATGAATAAATTTTTTAGAAATATTGATAAAAATTAAAATTTCTTTCGAAACGAAAGTATTTCGGATCACAACATACGAAAGAATTCTTAACGGAAATAAATTTACGAAACGTGCCATAATAAATATATATAACGATGTTTTTTGAACTCATTACTTATATTAAAAATAAGAATGATAAGTAGGAATATACATTTTTTTTTTTTTTTAAACATATGAAGTTTTTGAAACAGGTTCGAATATGCTTAAGCAAATAGTAAAAAGAGGCTCAAAAATATGCTTTAGCTTAAGCATATTTCTGATAAAATATACCTATTTCAATAATTTCTAAAAGTGTGCACGTTACTAAAGTTCTAGCAGATTTTAAAGATATCTCGAGTCCTGTTTGAATACGCTTTTCGAAATATTGATCTTAGAAAATATTGTTTTTTAATTTTAATAAGATATAAATTTAAGTATAAGATCGTATAATTCAATCAGTTAGATACGTGATAATTCGCCGCAGAGATCCGGGTTTGCATCCCACAGCCATTTTAACTTTTGTTCATCAAATTCTTTTTACTTAAGATAGCATTTTTTGACCTCCATGTTCTATATTACAGATCTTTCGTCACCTTTATAATAGTGACAACCTCTCTTCTGTTAGTTATTCTTTTATTGTGCTTAATTCTACACGTTTCACTTGCTTTACTAAGTTCTACTTAAATTATGATGAAATATACGTAAAACAACTTTTTCAAATAATATAAATCATTTTGCTTTAAATCTTGTTCTTTTTGTACTAGACATCTGTTCTAAACACTTTGTAATAATTTCTAAAAAAATGCTAAAGCATTTTTTTGAGCCTCTTTTTACTATTTGCTTAAGCACATTCGAACCTGTTTCAAAAATTTCATATGCTTTAAAAAAAAAATGTATATTCCTACCCATCATTCTTATTTTTAATATAAGTAATGAGTTCAAAAAACATCGTTATATATATTTATTATGGCACGTTTCGTAAATTTATTTCCGTTAAGAATTCTTTCGTATGTTGTGATCCGAAATACTTTCGTTTCGAAAGAAATTTTAATTTTTATCAATATTTCTAAAAAATTTATTCATAAAAATTTAAATGTTATTATACTGAAAATAACAATTCATTATAAACATTTTGGGATTTAAAGATGTTAATTGTTACAATTAAAATCAGTCTGGCAAACAAATTTTCTTTATAGACTTCAAAACGTCGTTTGGTGAAAATGTTTGTTTCGCAAGTGCGACTTCCGAAACCGCTACTTTTGTATGTTGCAAAATAGTTTTGTTTCGTATGTCAACTTGCGAAATGCTAAATTTCGGAAGTGGCTTTTTCGAAATGAACATCGGCGATTTTAAATGTTTTGTAACATTCGGTACGAAAAAATGTAATTCCTCGTTGTCAATCTCTTTTGAGAATTTTGTTTTTCCGGAATTGCACGAAATCCTTCGGTTAACAACCCTACTATATATATATATATATATATATATATATATATATATATATATATATATATATATATATATATATATATATATATATATATATATATATATATATATATATATATATATATATATATATGTATGTATACATACATACATATACATATATACAGTCATTTAGTTCAAATAATAGGGCGAATTATTTTTATCTATTATTGTATTATTATTTGAATTAGCCAAAATATTCTGTTCTACTGCCATAAGCATCCAAAACTGCAAACTATCTAGTGACTAGGACAATATGAGTCTACTTTTTATAAATTTTTATTTGGAACAACAACGTTCACAAGATTGTGAACAATCTTGTGAACATTGTGAACAAAAATGAACAAAATAAAGATTGCTATATACTTTAATATATAAATTATATTTAGCGAAGAAATTAAAATAGCAATAAAAACAATTTTTGCAACTCTTTTTGATTTTAAGGCATACTTCACTCATTACTTCTGAATCTGAATCAGTTAATTTATCAGTGTTATATATACCTTGCATATATATTTTAAAGTGTTCCCATTTTGCATTTAAATCAGTTAACCCTTTTCATACTGAGTCGCGCCTTAAAGGCGCGACATAAATTTAAACCACTATAAATTTTCTTTCACTTAACTGCTTTCTCTTAAACTTTTTGACTTTTAATATTATGCTATACTACACCATTTCCAGCATTAACGCGTGACTGAAGTGGTCTCACAGTGTTCTTATCGTGGTCTTGTCGACGACACGCTCCAACGTGTATTTTTGAAAACTTCACTTTGCAGCAATTTTATTAATTATAACTAAATTCTACAACTCTTGAACAAAATTTATATATATAAATTATATATATATAAATTTATATTATATTATTTGTTCCCATGGTTAAATTCAGAAGAAATAAAAAAATTTAACACAGAAAAAATATGTATAATAAGAAAATTTGAGCAAACGTATGTGTATTTCCGCAGAAGATGCTGCAGCAGGTATTCTCAATTTTGTTGAGAATTCTGATAATCAAAGCAATGATTTTTTTTTTTTTTTAAAGTTGATTAAGGTGCCCCAAGAAGTCCTTACGGTCTTATCACAGAGCACCGCAGAAGAGCATTTAAAAGGAAGTTCACGTCTGCTTCCCAACCGATGTCGCAAGACTTACCCAGAGGTGGGGTTTGAACCACGGATCTTACGTTTCTGAGACAAGTGCGCTACCACTGCGCCACGGCTGCTTTAATTTGGTAGACTTGGATGGAGAATCAGGTGAACAAATTCTAAATAAATCTTGCATTTATGTAAAAAAGCCTTTTAGTTTTAAAATGTACCTCTTAACTAGATTTTTATGATGAATCTAACATTGACAGCAACATCGAAGACAATGAGGATATTGAGAGCGAGGAATCAAATAAAAATCCTAAGCAACTTCTGACCTACTAAGAAGGGTTCAATCAATAGAAAGTGCACTAGATGAGACTAATTATGTAATAACACCCATTCCTGAAAAATTGGAAACTATTAAATCTATAAAGAGAACAGACAGGTCGGCGAAGGGCAGTGGATGCTGTATTGGAAACCTCAACCAGTTGGATCTTCTAAAAAGGCTAAACTATCTGTTAAAGCATTTAACAATTATATCACCGATGAAATAATAAATGATATTGTCCGTAATACAAACTGTAAAATTTGTGTAACTATTTTAAAGTCCACAGAAGATTTTATTTCTAAACACCCATTCATTAAGGAAACAGACCATTCATAAAAGAAAAAGACCCTATCGAATTGAAAGCATTACTTGGCTTGATGTTGTATCGTGGGTTGTACAACCTAAATAACTTTTCTGGATATAAACTTTTTTCAGACCGTTTTGGTCTACCAATATTTAATACTGCAATGCGTCGTGAGCGCTTTTTTTCTAATGGCAAATCTTAGCTTTGACGACGAATGTACTCGTCATGAAAGATAAGAGTACTTTTTTTTTTTTTTTTTATTTATGTGCCCCAAGAAGTCTTATCACAGAGCACCACGGATGAGCATTTAATTGGAAGTTCACGCCTCCTTCCAAACCATTATCGCTAAACTTGCCCAGAGGAGAATTTCAAACCACGGATCCTTTGTTTCTGAGGCAAGTCCGTTACCGCTGCGTCACAGCTGCTCAGTATAATAGATTTGCATTCTTTGTATGGATTTTTTACGAGCCTGAGATTTTTTATCACTTTAGGAGACCCTTTATTCAATGAGAACACAGGTGTCTATCAAGCAATACAACCCAAAGAAAGTGAATATTATCTGCCTGGTACAGAAACTCCACTTTCAAATATCTGGTAAATCGTTTGAATTAGGCCTATAAATTTTTTTTTATTCCAACAGAAAAAAATAAGTTGCAACGGACATTTTGTTTTAAATACTTAAGTTCGTTCTCCATTCAGAACTTTTTGCGCTTTGGAGAAGCGGAAAAGTTCTTTGAGCATGCGCAAACAGTTTTTTTAAGTGCGTTCTCCAATCAGAACTTATTGCGCATGCTCAAAAAACTTTTTCCGCGCAAAAAGTTCTGAATGGAGAACGGGCTTTAGGCGCTTTGATTGATGAGCAAATAAGTTGGAAAGAGCATATTAATCTAATAGAAAATAAAATTTCAAAAAGTATTGGAGTTATGTATAAAGCTAAATATATGTTGGATAAAAACTGTTTAAAATCTATTTGCTTTTCATGTATTCATTGCTATACTAATTATTGTAAAATTGCCTGGGCAAACACTTATCCGTCAAGACTGACGCGTATCTTAAAAAAGCAAAAACAAGTAAGCCGCTTTATATTATTTGC